GGTCATTAGTAGCCTACCAAACTTGCTAACAGCCTGGTCCTCAGCACTCTACTGTCCCTCTATTCCCTCTGACATCAATGCAAATGTAACCGAAAATCTAAATCAAACACTTCATGAGAGCCCATGAGATCATGTTGTGCAACATTTCTATAGGCTATGCAATTGCGCAAGAAAACAAGAGTGATGGCCTCTATTAAAAATAGGAGGATCCCATCAGCTTTCTATAGGCTAGGCCTACTATATTTATTTATTTCTCAACTTTCCTAATATTAAGCAAATATTAAGCACATTGTTTATCTTTACAACAGGAGTATAGCCTACCTGGCTGGCATGAAAATTAACCACAGGAAAAGCGTCCTCCACTCGCTATTTAAGTGCAGAGATGACATGTATTTTTTCCCCCTGCCCCGGTTTCGAGACAGGTGCATGATAATGGTCCATTCTAAATCTAAACGAATTTCACACATACATTATTTTGTACATGTAAAGATTAAATCAAAAATAGTCTGATGGGTGACAATATTAGCCTATCACTTGTGAATTATATATCATCACTTGTGAATGACGCCCAGCTTAAGGCAATAAACAATGCCTTTTGTTGTGTGACTTTTTCGAATCATAGTCGCACACCTCATGTAGCCTAGCCCATAGGCCTATATGTTTTGATAAGGTTTATATCACAACTAAAGTGGCCAAATAACTTCTTAAAATCAAGCACATTAAATCTGCTTTACAAGGGGTGTAGAGCCTAACTGGCATACATAAGCAGCGCGTGAGTTTCAAGTTTGGGGAAGATACTTTTCATCATAAAGATGCAGCTTTATAATAAAAGCATTACATGCATAATAGCATTTGCGGTCACTTTTGATAATGGTGTTTATCCGCTAATGGAACATTCGTGCTTATAGCCTAGCTCTAAAGGTATGTTAGTACGTAGATCCTTTAACGTGTGCAGTATTCCTTATGAGACAAAAACATTTGAAAAGTCTTCCATGGGGGTACCATTTTAAAGCATTGTAAACTGCAAGTAATGAAGTGAGAGTCGTTCCAAAATAAACTTCTCAGCCTTTCAAGCCATAACCTCTGAGCCGTAAAATACTACTTCCATTTAACTCACGTAAACAAAGCCGGATCCCCTTAGGTGAGTAACCATAGTAAGACATCTAATAGAACATCCATTTGTCCCTCTTCATGAAAGCGACCCAAACATTTAAGAGTTTAGGTAATGTTTTTTTGTTTGTTTGTTTGTTTTGTCACACACACATGCCAGAGGCAGACTTTCTATTTAACAGGGTTATTCAGACAGACTTCTATAGTTTAAAGGGAAGAAGGGAAAGAGCAGACAGATGAAATGTAGTCGTCATGCTTGTTTCCCCTGGTGAGCCAAAGAGTCAGTTAGCCGGAGCAAAGCAGCCCTGCTGCTCTCTGACCAACCCTGAGGGCCCCACATCCATCTTACTGCCATGTTATCTCTACTCAGACCCAGAGAGGCAATCCTCTTAACTCCCTCACCCAAAAGAGAGAGGGGGAGAGGATAACCCCAGAGAGAGAGAGAGAGAGAGAGAGCGCAAGAGAGAGAGAGAGAGAGAGAGAGAGAATATGTGTGAAGAAACACCCAGAGAAACAGAAAGAGCCAGATAGAGAGAACCCTGTCTAGATGTACAGTGGCTTGCGAAAATATTCACCCCCCTTGGCATTTTTCCCATTTTCTTGCCTTACAACCTGGAATTAAAATGGATTTTTGGGCGGTTTGTATTATTTGATTTACACAACATGCCTACCACTTTGAAGATGCAAAATATTTTTTCTTGTGAAACAAACAACAAATAAGACAAAAAAACAGAAAACTTGAGCGTGCATAACTATTCAACCCCAAAGTCAATACTTTGTAGAGACACCTTTTGCAGCAATTACAGCTGCAAGTCTCTTGGGGTATGTCTCTATAAGCTTGGTACATCTAGCCACTGGGATCTTTGCCCATTCTTCAAGGTTATACTGCTCCAGCTCCTTCAAGTTGGATGGGTTCCGCTGGTGTACAGCAATCTTCAAGTCATACCACATATTCTCAATTGGATTGAGGTCTGGGCTTTGACTAGGCCATTCCAAGACATTTAAATGCTTAAACCACTCGAGTGTTGCTTTAGCAGTATGCTTAGGGTCATTGTCCTGCTGGAAGGTGAACTTCTGTCCCAGTCTCAAATCTCTGGAAGACTGAAACATGTTTCCCTCAAGAATTTCCCTGTATTTAGCGCTATCCATCATTCCTTCAATTCTGACCAGTTTCCCAGTCCCTGCCGATGAAAAACATCCACACAGCCTGATGCTGCCACCACCATGCTTCACTGTGGGGATGGTGTTCTCGGGGTGATGAGAGGTGTTGGGTTTGCGCCAGACATAGCGTTTTCCTTGATGGCCAAAAAGCTCAATTTTAGTCTCATCTGACCAGAGTACCTTCTTCCATATGTTTGGGGAGTCTCCCGAATGCCTTTTGGCAAACACCAAACGTGCTTGCTTATTTTTTTCTTTAAGCAATGGCTTTTTTCTGGCCACTCTTCAATAAAGCCCAGCTCTGTGGAGTGTACTGCTTAAAGTGGTTCTATGGACAGATACTCCAATCTCCACTGTGGAGCTTTGCAGCTCCTTCAGGGTTATCTTTGGTCTCTTTGTTGCCTCTCTGATTAATGCCCTCCTTGCCTGGTCCGTGAGTTTTGGTGGGCGGCCCTCTCTTGGCAGGTTTGTTGTGGTGCCATATTCTTTCCATTTTTTAATAATGGATTTAATGGTGCTCCGTGGGATGTTCAAAGTTTCAGATATTTTTTTATAACCCAACCCTGATCTGTACTTCTCCACAACTTTGTCCCTGACTTGTTTGGAGAGCTCCTTGGTCTTCATGGTGCTGCTTGCTTGGTGGTTCCCCTTGCTTAGTGGTGTTGCAGACTCTGGGGCCTTTCAGAACAGGTGTATATATACTGAGATCATGTGACACTTAGATTGCACACAGGTGGACTTTATTTAACTAATTATGTGACTTCTGAAGGTGTAATTGGTTGCACCAGATCTTATTTAGGGGCTCCATAGCAAAGGGGGTAAATACATATGCACGCACCACTTTTCTGTTATTTAGTTATTTTTTTCATTTCACTTCACCAATTTGGACTATTTTGTGTATGTCCATTACATGAAATCCAAATAAAAATCAATTTAAATTACAGGTTGTAATGCAACAAAATAGGGAAAATGCCAAGGGGGATGAATACTTTTGCAAGGCTCTGTATAGAGCCCTGTATAGTACCAGTTTATGACAGAACGTTAGATGGAACACATCCACCCTGCTAGTGGGCTGTGACCATTAGCTGCCTTACCTGGTAAAGAGCCAGAGAATGGCCGTATCTCTGCAGAGGTCCACTATTGATCGGCACCACGTCCCAAGTGCTGCTCTCCAGATTATAACTGCAGGGGGGAAGAGAGACAGTCAGGCCTGAGCTATACAGAATATACAACAAAGAAATGGATGGAGAGAGTGGAGGGAGAAGAAAGAGATGGAGAGAGTGGAGGGAAAGAGAGAGAAAATGAGAGAGAGAGAGAGAGAGAGAGAGAGAGAGAGAGAGAGAGAGAGAGAGAGAGAGAGAGAGAGAGAGAGAGAGAGAGATCCTAACCTCCTGCCAAATGTATGACCATATTAGAGACACATTTCCCTCAGATTACACAGACCCACAAAGAATTTGAAAACAAATCCAATTTTGATAAACTCTATTGGGTGAAATACCACAGTGTGCCATCACAGCAGCAAGATTTGTGACCTGTTGCCACAAGAAAAGGGCAACCAGTGAAGAACAGACACCACTGTAAATACAACCCACAAAATGTTTATTTATTTTCCCTTTTGTACTTTAACTATTTGCACATCGTTACAACACTGTACATAGCCATAATATGACATTTGAAATGTGGCTTTGGCAATGTAAACATATGCTCCCATGCCAATAAAGCCCTTTGAATTGAGAGAGAGAGAGAAAGAGAGAGAGGGAGCGAGAGAGAGTGCGAGAGAGAGCGAGAGAGAGAGAGAGAGAGAGCGAGAGAGAGAGAGAGAGTGCGAGAGAGAGCGAGAGAGAGCGAGAAGGCGAAAGACTGGAAGTAAACAAATATATATGAGGTAAGTAGACATTAACCACGTTTCCATCCACAGTTTTTATGCGAGTGAAGTCATACCGTACAAAAAAAAATCACGACAGCTGTGATGGAAACAGGACGTTTCGGTACAATTTTATAAATGCCGACAGATAATTTCTTCATTCGACATGGTGGGATCCTTTTGTGTCTGTAAAATTAATTATGCGAGAAATGCAGGTGAAACGCCTTTATGCGCAAATATTAATATAAAAACCATCATATCGAAGTAAACTTGGAGTCACGTGATGACATGGTATGTGGTCCTCTGACTACGACTCGGGAAATCATGCAGTTTATTAGGCTAAAGATTAAATAAGTTATGATGAACTTCACAGAGTGGTGAAAGTGCACAATGATCTTGATGCTCCTTTCCATTACATTTTGAGGGTCTTATTCTGGTGACATGATGAGCGATGCTTGACTGCCTTTTGACAAATACAAATATTCTGGCTCTTATCCATAATAATCTCATCATGTAGACTAGCCTACCCACAGAGCCTACCTGCACTGTATCAGCGAGCTGTTGGCTAGAGCGCACGTGCCAAGACCAGAGTAGGCACATTTGCTATTTAACGCAACACTTTTTGTGACAAAACTATCAGTAGAATTGAAAATGCGATGGAAACACATTGAACTTTAGATTTGTATTCGGTACATGAAAACTCAGCAACAAGTCAGTTTGGTGGGAAAATGCGCATATTGTCTTTATGCAGATTTTTTAATATTTGCATGAGAATCTGTCGCCAACTGGATGGAAACCTAGCTACAGAGCGAAATGAAGAGACAGACAGATGTTCCAGGTCTCTCTCTCTTCAGTCAGTGCCTTACTTGAGCACCATGTGGAAAGAGCTGTAGTTGAAGGTGTATCCTCCGATGACCCACATGAGTTTCCCATGGACCACAGCCTTATGGGAGGCCCTGCCCAGGGACTGGCTGAAGGGCTTGACGTTAGACATCACCCAGTAAGACTCAGTGGACGGCACTGACAGAGCACAGTCTGGACCTGGAGAGGACCAAACAACATAATTACAAATGCATGAAAGTATGTGAGGTGCGTTTGTAGCAAAATACTCTCTTCAGCAACACTTTAATACAGCTGACTAAACATGGTCCCACAGCACCATCAGCTGGTGAAGAGTGTGATAACAAAGCCTATGTCATGATGATGGGGTCAGCCATGATTGTGATGCGCTCACATGGCTACTACTCACTCTGATTCATCAAACCCCATTATGAGAAGGATCTCATGATACTGGCCCCTGTTGGCCCCTATTAGAGTGGAGGACAGACAGTGGAAATGGGGGGATGTGATAGGGTCTAGGGGCCAGGACCCTGTCTATCAGTGGAGAAAACCTAATTAGGGAAATGACCAGTGGTAAATGACCAGTGACCAGCAACTCAGTGTCAGAGCATAGGAGTGGCACCATGCTGGACAGTTCTGTCTCATTGAGAGGTGCTTGGTTGGTTCTACCCTGCTGGACAGTTCTGTCTCATTGAGAGGTGCTTGGTTGGTTCTACCCTGCTGGACAGTTCTGTCTCATTGAGAGGTGCTTGGTTGGTTCTACCCTGCTGGACAGTTCTGTCTCATTGAGAGGTGCTTGGTTGGTTCTACCCTGCTGGACAGTTCTGTCTCATTGAGAGGTGCTTGGTTGGTTCTACCCTGCTGGACAGTTCTGTCTCATTGAGAGGTGCTTGGTTGGTTCTACCCTGCTGGACAGTTCTGTCTCATTGAGAGGTGCTTGGTTGGTTCTACCCTGCTGGACAGTTCTGTCTCATTGAGAGGTGCTTGGTTGGTTCTACCCTGCTGGACAGTTCTGTCTCATTGAGAGGTGCTTGGTTGGTTCTACCCTGCTGGACAGTTCTGTCTCATTGAGAGGTGCTTGGTTGGTTCTACTGTAAAGAAGAAGTGTTAATACATCACCAAAGCATACAGTATTCAGGAACATTGGAGATCATATCAATGCATGGTTATACTAAGGGGATACCTAGACCAGCGACCCACAAGGTGTAAGGACAAAACCTCCAGCACCACTAGATGGCAGACATGGAACATAAGATATCTCCTCTTGGTCAACAGACAATAGCAGGTGTTGTATTTAGTGTAGCCTGTATGAATACGGAGGAGAATCGGTCATGTCTGGAGAGCAGAAACCTGTGGTCTTCCACCATCATCTCAAGATTAGATTGTTAGAGCATGGAATACTCAACATGAAAAAGGCTCCTACTATCAAGCTGTCAGAATAGTGTTGGACATTATCCAACAGGTTACATGCATCCTACAACATGACCTCATTCCCTTCATCTAAACTAAGACGGTCATATCTGCCGAGTACTTCAGATGTCAGCTTCTATTACTGTAACATATGATACATGGTCTCTGTGCCCCTCTCGTCACAGTTCTCATTTCAGCCAGAAGATGGCAGTGTGACTCAATATACAAGAACACAAATAACTTACCTTTGTCATTGAATAATGAATTAACCCTATGAACCAACATGAAGATCCAACACCATAAAGACAACATTGTGACAACATTGACACGATATAACCATAGCCCTAGCCCCACCTTGCCAGCTGTCGTTGCAGACACAGCTCTTCTCCCCAGTGAGGTCACAGTAGCCCTGGTCGGGGCTACCACAGTTGTTCCTGCAGTAGGGGATGTCACAGGCCTCGCCCTTCCAGTACTTATCACACTCGCAGTACACCCGGCTGGCGATAGAGTTCCCCGTGCTGCACTTCCCATGACCGGAGCAGTTATTGGGGCACGAGTTGACCCTGCAGACCCAGAACGGAGAGATGGTGAATTAGATGAGTGAAAGCATGAGACCATGGGAGGGATGAGGAAGTACATTTGGAAAGGTTATCATTGTAAATAAGAATTTGCTCTTAATTCACTTACCTGTATAAATAAAGGTTGAATAAAAAATAAGTCAATAATTGAGGAAAAACAAATAGCTGAAAGAATGATTGATTGACAGAGGTGATTGCCATCTATTGGGGTATGTGTTTTCAGGGAGCAGAACAGATAAAGGGTGATATGCAGAGAAATGGAGAGAGAATTAAAGAGAAGTGCCGACAAAATAATAGAGAAATATGGAAGGTAGACAGAGACAGGAGGAGGTCAAGGATCCAGGATAATACACATGCTTTTCAGCAACAGGGGGACGATAATGTTTACCGCTGTGACAAGAGTGTTGCTATGGCAACACCTTTATGGCCACATGGTGTGTGTGTCTGTGCTGGAGCCCTTGAGGCTGAGTTTAACTTATCTGAAAGCCCATCCTTCTCTTTGGCTGCTGCTTTGCGAGACAACCCAATTAATTCATTTTCAGAATCACACACACACATATCTCATATGTTAAGGGGTGTCATCTCCTCAGCTGTAATGCCCATTCTCAGCTAATCGTGTGATAGACATTGTAGACCCTAGACTCTAGGGTCTACAATGTGGCCTAAAGAGTCTGAGTGCAGTAGTGCTGAGCGATTAACCGAAATGTTGGTTATTTTTAGTATTTTAAACGACTAATTGACATACATCGGTTCAAATTTTTGAATTACATTTCGTATGTTTTTTTCTGTGAGCTCAATGTGCACATCGTGCTGCAGTTTCTCTAGAGATAAATCAGATCATGCCCGAACTGTGCGATGTAGTAGGGAGTTGTAGTTTCCAACAAGCCAATGTTCTACATAGTTTAGAACAGAAAACATGATGATTAACTACAATGACCATAATCCATTGCATGGCTACTTGTCCGGTCTGTGTTTCATTTAAGCCTACTACATAAGAGACAGAAGAATGCGCGATCAAGAGAAGATACATAGAGTGCAGTTTCTTCACGAGGTATCTCTACCTGAAAATACATGATCTAAGTAGTTGATAGTTGTTATTCAGCAGTCGTAAAAGTATGCCTTATTTACTTTGAAGAACTACAAAATAGGGATTTGTCAGACAGCATAGGCAGCGCTCTATAGAGATGAGATGATGACTTGGAATGAAATAATAAAGTCATCAAATAAAACAAATGTAATATACACAACAACTGAAATATTTTGTTAAAGCAATGTGAATAAATGATAAGCAGTAATGGAAAGTCACTACCATCATGGGACTTTAATTATTTTATTCTGTGTTGTTACAGCATTCAACCCACATAATGCACAGTGCATTTAATGTTTAAAAAAATAATAGAAACCAAAAATCTTGATTATTTTTTAATACTCGAACTGAAACGTCCTCAAAAAGCACTAATCGCTCAGTACTAGTGTGCATCAACAGAGCAAGAGGAAAGAGAATGTAATGGGGACAAGGCTCTTAGCAAACCCACTGTCTGCTACTGAGCCAGAGACTTCCCTAATGGTCATATAAGGTATAGGTGAAGACTTATAAGGTATAGGTGACTGTAAATGTAGTGTGTGTGTATGGGCTGGGGCCACTCACGAGTAGGAGATGTGGAATCCAGTCAGGTTGTAGGCAGCGTCACTGAAAAAGTGCAACAGTGCATATCCAGAGGTGGCTACCACTTCCGGAACAGTCTCGTTCCCTCTCGTTTCCGGGACAACGAGACCGCTGTGGGAGAAGAAGAAAAATACATTAATGATGGAGTATTCACACACACACACAAACACGTTAAGCTCCAAAGTATGCTGGATAAATTATCGCCCTTTGCTTGACTGCTGAGCTGCGATTGCTGTCACCATGAAAACCCCCCTCCCGTCCTCCCGTCCTCCCGCCCTCCCGCCCTCCCGTCCTCCCGTCCTCCCGTCCTCCCGTCCTCCCGTCCTCCCGTCCTCCCGTCCTCCCGCCCTCCCGTCTTTACTTCATTGGGAGAAAGTGACTCCTTCCTCTCCTCGGGATCGATCCCTCCATTGCATGGAGGATCAGGCTACACAGCACAGCCCCATCAAGGTCATCAAAGAGGGAGGAGAAATCCGCTCCCCACCGGGAAGATTACAACCAGGCTCAACACAAAGACCACACAGCCAATACCAGGGGAGAGTCCATAGGGAAGGACCCTCAGTGGAAGGAATTACATTAGGGACCTATTCTTCAAAGGGGGAGGGAGGGTGAGAGGAAGAACACCTAAGACAGGCCTAAGAGCAACACTGAACAAAAATATAAAAAACGCAACAATTTCAAAGCTTTTACAGTTCATATAAGGAAATCAGTCAATTGAAATAAATAAATTAGGCCCTAATCTATGGATTTCACATGACTGGGAATATAGATATGCATCTGTTGGTCACAGATACCTTTAAAAAAAGGTAGGGGTGTGGATCAGAAAACCAGTCAGTATCTGGTGTGACCACTATTTGCCTCATGCAGCGTGACACATCTCCTTTGCATAGTTGATCAGGCTGTTGATTGTGGCCTGTGGAATGTTGTCCCACTCCTCTTCAATGGCTATGCGAAGTTGATGGATATTGGCGGGAACTGGAACATGCTGTCGTAAAGGTCAATCCAGAGCATCCCAAACATGCTCAATGGGTGACATGTCTGGTGAGTATGCAGGCCATAGAAGAACAGAAATTTTTAGCTTACAGGAATTGTGTACAGATCCTTGTGATATGGGGCCAAACATTATCATGCTGAAACAAGGCGGATGAATGGCACGACAATGGGCCTCAGGATCTTGTCACAGTATCTCTGTGCATTCAAATTGCCGTCGATAAAATGCAATTGTGTACGTTGTCCGTAGCTTATGCCTGCCCATACCATAACCCCACCGCCACCATGTGGGACACTGTTCACAACGTTGACGTCAGCAAACCGCTCGCCCTCACTACGCCATACAGGCTGTCTGCCATCTGCCCGGTACAGTTGATACCGGGATTCATCTGTGAAGAGCACACTTCTCCAGCGTACCAATGGACATCAAAGGTGAGCATTTGCCCACTGAAGTCGGTTATGATGCCAAACTGCAGTCAGGTCAAGACCCTTGTAAGGACGACGAGCACGCAGATGAGCTTCCCTGGTTTCTGACAGTTTATGCAGAAATTCTGTAAACAAATTTGTGCACAAAATTTGAGAGAAATAAGCTTTTTGTCCGTATGGACAATTTCTGGGATCTTTTATTTTAGCTCATGAAACATTGGACCAACACTTTACATGTTGCGTTTATATTTTTATTCAGTGTAAATGCAGAATATTAATCCATTGATTCATGATCACACCCACTCGTTACCTACAGTGAGGGAAAAAAGTATTTGATCCCCTGCTGATTTTGTACGTTTGCCCACTGACAAAGACATGATCAGTCTATAATTTTAATGGTAGGTTTATTTGAACAGTGAGAGACAGAATAACAACAAAAAAATACAGAAAAACGCATGTCAAAAATGTTAGAAATTGATTTGCATTTTAATGAGGGAAATAAGTATTTAACCCCTCTGCAAAACATGACTTAGTACTTGGTGGCAAAACCCTTGTTGGCAATCACAGAGGTCAGACGTTTCTTGTAGTTGGCCACCAGGTTTGCACACATCTCAGGAGGGATTTTGTCCCACTCCTCTTTGCAGTCATTAAGGTTTCGAGGCTGATGTTTGGCAACTCGAACCTTCAGCTCCCTCCACAGATTTTCTATGTGATTAAAGTCTGGAGACTGGCTAGGCCACTCCAGGACCTTAATGTGTTTCTTCTTGAGCCACTCCTTTGTTGTCTTGGCTGTGTGTTTTGGGTCATTGTCATGCTGGAATACCCATCCATGACCCATTTTCAATGCCCTGGCTGAGGGAAGGAGATTCTCACCCAAGATTTGACGGTACATGGCCCCGTCCATCGTCCCTTTGATGCGGTGAAGTTGTCCTGTCCCCTTAGCAGAAAAACACCCCCAAAGCATAATGTTTCCACCTCCATGTTTGACGGTGGGGATGGTGTTCTTGGGGTCATAGGCAGCATTCCTCCTCCTCCAAACACAGCGAGTTGAGTTGATGCCAAAGAGCTCCATTTTGGTCTCATCTGACCACAACACTTTCACCTAGTTCTCCTCTGAATCATTCAGATGTTCATTGGCAAACTTCAGACGGGCATGTATATGTGCTTTCTTGAGCAGGGGGGACCTTGCGGGCGCTGCAGGATTTCAGTCCTTCACGGCGTAGTGTGTTACCAATTGTTTTCTTGGTGACTATGGTCCCAGCTGCCTTGAGATCATTGACAAGATCCGCCCGTGTAGTTCTGGGCTGATTCCTCACCGTTCTCATGATCATTGCAACTCCACGAGGTGAGATCTTGCATGGAGCCCCAGGCCGAAGGAGATTGACAGTTCTTTTGTGTTTCTTCCATTTGCGAATAATCGCACCAACTGTTGTCACCTTCTCACCAAGCTGCTTGCGATGGTATTTTAGCCCATTCCAGCCTTGTGTAGGTCTACAATCTTGTCCCTGACATCATTGGAGAGCTCTTTGGTCTTGGCCATGGTGGAGAGTTTGGAATCTGATTGATTGATTGCTTCTGTGGACAGGTGTCTTTTATACAGGTAACAAGCTGAGATTAGGAGCACTCCCTTTAAGAGTGTGCTCCTAATCTCAGCTCGTTACCTGTATAAAAGACACCTGGGAGCCAGAAATCTTTCTGATTGAGAGGGGGTCAAATACTTATTTCCCTCATTAAAATGCAAATCAATTTATAAAAAAAATTACATGCGTTTTTCTGGATTTTTTTGTTGTTATTCTGTCTCTCACTGTTCAAATAAACCTACCATTAAAATTATAGACTGATCATTTCTTTGTCAGTGGGCAAACGTACAAAATCAGCAGGGGATCAAATACTTTTTTCCCTCACTGTATAATAGAAAGGGAGAGAACAATTCCTCTTCAGCTAGCCAGTATTCTGGATCACCACTGTGTGTGGATTCTACAATCATCTGTATTATTTAGCGGCATGTGTTCCATCCAACTAGTTTTGGAGGTATACAGTATTTGGTGTTCATGCATGCACAGTTGACTGCATACTAGAGAGTACACACGTATGTACATGCATACAGCATGATAGCTCCTGAGTAGCTCCTGAGTGGCGCAGTGGTCTAAGGCACTGCATCGCAGTGCTAACTGTGCCACTAGAGATCCTGGTTCGAATCCAGGCTCTGTCGCAGCCGGCCGCGACCGGGAGACTCATGGGCGGCGCACAATTGGCCCAGCGTCGTCCAGGGTAGGGGAGGGAATGGCCGGCAGGGATGTAGCTCAGTTGATAGAGCATGGCGTTTGCAACGCCAGGGTTGTGGGTTCGTTTCCCATGGGGGGCCAGTATAAAAAATAAAAATAAAATGTATTCACTAACTGTAAGTCGCTCTGGATAAGAGCGTCTGCTAAATGACTAAAATGTAAATGTATGATGACCTCACCTGAATACTGCGACCAGTGGTGCATAGATGGAGTCTCCATCATAGACGTACATGTGGTCCCAGCTACATTCCGTGGCAAAATGGTTGAAGCGCAACCTGAGCACAGCGTTTGGGCTGAAGGACAGAACATAGAGCATGGTTTAAAATGGGGAACTATAGCAACCTACACCACTGCCCACGATGATCAGGATTCTTTACATTAGACAAAGAGTTTAACACTAAGACCACTGAACAATAACATGAATCAGTCTAAGAATGAATGCATACTGTACGGAATATAGACAGAAGAGCGTATGAACAGAGATAGAAGAGGAAAGAGAGAAATAACTACTTACTAGCCCTCGATCAGCCAGGTGCACTTGGTCTTGTACTTGTAGTTGATTGGTCCATCTGTGAGGGAACCTGATGGCTCTGTTAACCTGGCAAAGAGTGAAAAGCAACAATTAATACATGGAGAAAGGATGGATAGATAGGTCACAGAGGAGGAAGGTATAGGGTATAGCAGTGTTTCCCCTATAATCATTAAGCAGTGGTAGCCCACCACTGCTAAATATTTGCAACCACTCCAAAAAATATGTTTTAATATGCTGATGTGCTTTTAAAACGCTCAAACCAGTAGAAATCCACTTTTTCGAGCTGAAAGACGATGGCCAGAGCTTACCCATGATTTTGCACAAAAATATAAGTCAATAAGTCATAGTTTTAGTCAAAGTATGATGTATTTGGGCTTGAAGTGCCAAATCCGAATGTGTGACTTTGGATGTTTCCGTGAGTCTTAAGTGTCTTTTCCTATGAGATGACGTGCAAATTCTTTTCAGCCTACGTTTTGTTACAGGGCTGGGTTTTATTTAAAGGTTACCACCCACCAGCATGGCAATGTTTATTAAGCAGAAACACCTGCTGGAAAGTTCCTCCTGTTCGTGAGTCGTCTGAGAGCCAAACAGCTTTTCTCTGTAGCCTACACTTCGGATTCCACTACATAAAACAGCCACATAATCAAAATTGGCCAATCAATCAATATCGTACAAATTCATGAAAACAAAAATGATCTTTGATCTTTAAGGTTAAGGTTCGGCCAGCGTTTCCCAAATTCGGTCCTCAAAGCTTGATGATTAGTTATTTAAATCAGCTGTGTAGTGCTAGGGAAAAAAACAAAACGTGATGCTGCCACCACCATGCTTCACCGTAGGGATGGTGCCAGGTTTCCTCCAGACGTGACGTTTCGTATTCAGGCCAAAGAGCCTTTTGGCAAACCCCAAGCGGGCTGTCGTGCCTTTTACTGAGGAGTGGCTTCCGTCTGGCCACTCTACCATAAAGGCCTGATTGGTGTGCTGCAGAGATGGTTGTCCTTCTGGAAGGTTCTCCCATCTCCACAGAAGAACTCTAGAGCTTTGTCAGAGTGATCATCGGGTTCTTGGTCATCTCCCTGGCCAAGGCCTTTCTCCCCCGATTGCTCAGTTTGGCCGGGCGGCCAGCTCTAGGAAGTCTTGGTGGTTCTAAACTTTTTCCATTTAAGTATGATGGAGGCCACTGTTTTCTTGGGGACCTTCAATGCTGCAGAAATGTTTTGGTACCCTTCCCCAGATCTGTGCCTCAACACATTCCTGTCTCGGAGCTCTACGGACAATTCCTTCGACCTCATGGCTTGGTTTTTGCTCTGACATGCACTGTCAACTGTGGGACCTTATATAGACAGGTGTGTGCCTTTCCAAATCATGTCCAATCAATTGAATTTAGTACAGGTGGACTCCAATCAAATTGTAGAAACATCTCAAGGATGATCAACAGTCTCACAGCAAGGGGTCTGAATACTTATGTAAATATGGGGTATTGTGTGTAGATTGCTGAGGATTACTATTTTTTAAATCCATTTTAGAATAAGGCTGTTACTTAACAAAATGTGGAAAAAGTCAAGGGGTCTAAATACTTTCCGAAGGCACTGTACAGCTAGCTAGATTGCAGAAATGATGAGAGAACAAAGAATATAGCTATTTTGATAATGTCCGTGTGCATGTCCAAATATTAATGACGTCTGGAATCCGACAGTTTCACTGGAATTATCAAACGGCAAGAGTCAGACAAACGTCAACCCTCAACATGTCAACAGCTTGTATAGGCACGGTTTAGCTGACACATCTCGACAGGTAGGCTGCTAGTCTTTTTCTGAAATAATTATTATAACAGTCTTAATTATTATGGTAATCTTAACTGAAATGGTGCTCACATAACCTTAGCCAGCTAATGAAAGTTATCATGCTAGCTAGTTACACTGACAGCTGTCAGTCAGTGGCCTATTTGTTGTTATTTCTCTGCTACACCACAATGTTCTCACCCCCAATTAGCAGCCTGCGTCAGTCTTCGAGCTGGAACCTAAACGTGAATTTCTGCTCTAGGACAGGAATTACTCAAAATAGGTGCGGCAACTTCCTCTGAGGTGTGCCTTTAAATGGATAGTGAGAGATTTTGGCCATTAAGCCCTTTTCTACTTACCCATATAGTAAGATGAACTCACTGATACCATTTAATGTCTCTGCATGCAGTTTGAAGGAAGTTGCTAACTAGCGTTAGCGCAATTGCTTACTAGCGTTAGCCCAATGACTGGAAGTCTATGGGAACAGTAAGCATGCTGTTCCCATAGACTTTCAGTCATTACGCTAACGCTAGTTAGCAATGGCTTGCATATGAGCACATCACTGTGGTTCAGCTACTGTACATTTCCTGTGAATGTGTGTCGTCTGAGGTGGGGCAGGTAGCCTAGCAGTTAGAGCATTGGGCTAGTAACCGAAAGATCACTGGTTCAAATCCCAGAGCAGACTTGGTGAAAAACCTATCAATGTGCCCTTGAGCAAGGCACTTAACCCTAATTGCTCCTGTAAGTCACTCTGGATAAGAGCGTCTGATAAATGACTAAAATGTAAGTGTGTGCGAGCGTCAGTTTGTGTGTGCATTGGCCACATTGAGAGCCTTCCTCATCTCAAATGGAGAATTGAGGGACAGATACAGTGAGGGGAAAAAGTATTTGATCCCCTGCTGATTTTGTACGTTTGCCCACTGACAAAGAAATGATCAGTCTATCATTTTAATGGTAGGTTTATTTGAACAGTGAGAGACAGAATAACAACAAAAAAATACAGAAAAACGCATGTCAAAAATGTTATAAATTGATTTGCATTTTAATGAGGGAAATAAGTATTTGACCCCCTCTCAATCAGAAAGATTTCTGGCTCCCAGGTGTCTTTTATACAGGTAACGAGCTGAGATTAGGAGCACACTCTTAAAGGGAATGCTCCTAATCTCAGTTTGTTACCTGTATAAAAGACACCTGTCCACAGAAGCAATCAATCAATCAGATTCCAAACTCTCCACCATGGTCAAGACCAAAGAGCTCTCCAAAGACGTCAGGGACAAGATTGTAGACCTACACAAGGCTGGAATGGGCTACAAGACCATCGCCAAGCAGCTTGGTGAGAAGGTGACAACAGTTGGTGTGATTATTCGCAAATGGAAGAAACACAAAAGAACTGTCACTCCCTCGGCCTGGGGCTCCATGCAGGTTCTCACCTCGTGGAGTTGCAATGATCATGAGAATGGTGAGGAATCAGCCCAGAACTACACGGGAGGATCTTGTCAATGATCTCAAGGCAGCTCTGACCATAGTCACCAAGAAAACAATTGTTAACACACTACGCCGTGAAGGACTGAAATCCTGCAGCGCCCGCAAGGTCCCCCTGCTCAAGAAAGCACATATTAAGGCCCGTCTGAAGTTTGCCAATGAACATCTGAATGATTCAGAGGAGAACTGGGTGAAAGTGTTGTGGTCAGATGAGACCAAAATGGAGCTCTTTGGCATCAACTCAACTCGCCGTGTTAGGAGGAGGAGGAATGCTGCCTATGACCCCAGAACACCATCCCCACCGTCAAACATGGAGGTGGAAACATTATGCTTTGGGGGTGTTTTTCTGCTAAGGGGACAGGACAACTTCACCGCATCAAAGGGACGATGGACGGGGCCATGTACCGTCAAATCTTGGGTGAGAACCTCCTTCCCTCAGCCAGGGCTTTGAAAATGGGTCGTGGATGGGTATTCCAGCATGACAATGACCCAAAACACATGGCCAAGGCAACAAAGGAGTGGCTCAAGAAGAAGCACATTAAGGTCCTGGAGTGGCCTAGCCAGTCTCCAGACCTTAATCCCATAGAAAATCTGTGGAGGGAGCTGAAGGTTCGAGTTGCCAAACGTCAGCCTCGAAACCTTAACGACTTGGAGAAGATCTGCAAAGAGGAGTGGGACAAAATCCCTCCTGAGATGTGTGCAAACCTGGTGGCCAACTACAAGAAACGTCTGACCTCTGTGATTGCCAAAACGGGTTTTGGCACCAAGTACTAAGTCATGTTTTGCAGAGGGGTCAAATACCTATTTCCCTCATTAAAATGCAAATCAATTTATAACATTTTTGACATGCGTTTTTCTGGATTTTTTTGTTGTTATTCTGTCTATCACTGTTCAAATAAACCTACCATTAAAATTATAGACTGATCATGTCTTTGTCAGTGGGCAAACATACAAAATCAGCAGGGGATCAAATACTTTTTTCCCCTCACTGTATGTGTCTGCTTTAAGGGGTCCTTAACTGAAAAATAATCTCAACGTCCATCTCAACCAATTACACTGAAACCACAAGTGTTATAGGAAATCATTAGCTCTCCCATTCAGAAAGCATCAGTCTTGTTTACAGGACGACATCTCCATCTACAGCCACACAGAGACTATTAGACAATGCTATTCTCTGGTCACCCTGACAAAATGGAAGACTATTGAAGGAGAGCCAGGAGCTGACGTCTTCAGGATATTGACATGGGGTAAACAAAGCACAAGTCACCATTATCTGATATAGCATTGTCACTGCTGAGAGCCTGGGACACTGTGGTCACACTGGCACCCAGCCACATCACTTCCTGGTATCAGCCTGGACAACAAACCCTCCAACAACTATGTGTGCGCTTGCGTGACTATGGGGTGTGCAGTGACTGTCTCTTATTCACAAATCAGCACAGCAGTGACCTTATGACAATGACCTTATGCCACAACATGTCATGTAGACGACACAACAACAATGACCTTTCAACAACCTTAATG